CCCACACACGCTCACTCAAGTATCACTTCCTAGTGAAAAACTTCCCAGATCTCCCCAGGCTAAATTGAGTTCATTTACATGGTGCCTTGTACATCTCCTTTGAGGTATCATCACATTTCTAATTACATGTTTAACATCTCTTTTCCCTGTTAAATCTAAAGCTTCATGAAGGCAGGAGCCATATCTTGTTTGTTGATATGTTCCTAGCACCAAGGACAGTGCCTCACACATTTAATAAATATTTGTTGAAAGAGAATCAATCAATGAATGAATAGGGCCATCTTCTTGTGAGCAACTCCCACTGGATAACTCCTTCAGGACCCAATTCAGAAGTTATCTCCTCCAGGTTGGGTAAGAAGCAGACCAGGTTCATCTTTGGATCCCTAGGTCCTAGCTTCAGACCTGATAAATGGTTTATATATTATAGATGTTTACCAAATCACAATAAACTCCTGACCATGAGTTGATAACTATTGAAACTGAGTGATGGGTATAGGATACTGTTTTGTCTACTTTTGTATATATTTGAAATTTTCCATATTAAAAAGTTAAAATATTTTTTTATAATCACCTCAAGTTAAGTCAAAGTATAGTCAAAGATGACCTTGAGGTTTCTGTCTTGGGCAAATGAGTACATAGTGGTGCCATTCACTGACCTGGAGCTACATCCAGTCTGTAGCATGTGTGTGTATATGTGTGTGTTGGGGAGGGTTCTTTTTCACCTCAGTGAAACTCTTTAAAGACCAATAAAAGGGGGTGAAATAATGAATTCAGATTCGGACATCTTTAGTTTTAGGTGCCTGAAGACATCTCCAGTCAGTTGTTCAATACGTTAGCAGGTCCAATAAATTAAAACCTGCCTTAGATGCAACAATTGGTCTCTAGTCACCTGGAACAGACAAAGGAGAAGGAGGATGAGGAATCGGTTAACTGCCTTCATGAACAACTGCTTCCTTTGCCCTGAGTCCAGAACTGGCTGGTGCTCAGCTACCATTACTGAACATTTTGATCAAAGATTCCATAGAAGCATCCTGATCAAAAGGGGGAAAATGTAGAGCATAATTTCAAATCTTCTTGGACTCCAGATTTCCTGGAGCCATGGAGGGTGAATGAACCCCTGAAACTATTGCCCTGAGATTATTTTTAAATCGTAAACCAAAAATGTCCCTTGAAACCAAACAATAGTTTAGCTTAACTAGTAAAAAAATATCTGCTTTGAGCAGTATGCTCTTTTAAGTACTATCTCTACATGGGATCAAAGTGACAACAGCAACTTGAAAAATTAGGATTGCACAAGTTGAAGAATGTAATCAATGTCACTAACCTGTACCTGCAGAAATTGTTTAATTGGCGTATTCTTGCTGTGTATGTTCTCAACAACAATAAAATAAGTAAAATTTAGGAAAATAAAAACAAACTCAAAACCTGCCTTAGAGCAATAAGCCTTAATGGGTGTCTGGATAATAATACTCCCACTTAACTATTCTTGATGGTCTCTGGGATCTATCCCACCATCCAGGGGTCTGCAACAAATATTTAGCCAGACCATTTCTTCCTTCAAGTAGTTTTGGTGGCACAGTGGTTAAAGCATTCAGTGGTTTAAACCCACCAGCTGCTCTGAACACACCAGCGGCTCTGCAGGAGGAAGATGAGGCAGTCTGCTTTGTAAAGATTTACAGCCTTGAAAACCCTATGGGGCAGTTCTAACTTTGTTCCATAGGGTGGCGTAGTACCTAAGTCATTTGACTGCTAACCAGAAGGCTGGCTGTTCAAACCCACCAGCCACTTCTCGGAGGGAAGGCTGGGCAATCTATTGCCGTAGAGATACTGTCTCAGAAACCCAAGGAAGGGTGGCTATGAGTCGCATCCGACGCAGTGGGTATGGCAGTGGGTTATTCCTTCCTTCCCGCTTTTCACCCCTTTCTCTCCTTGGCTTTCTTCCCTCTTGTGGATTTCTACCAGGGAGCCATTTCTTTTTCTTCTTCTTCTTCTTCTCTCTCCCTCTTTCTTTACTAGAAATAATTTTATTACGCCTTGGACAGTACAAAGACAAAACATAGACCATCATCCAGGATGAGGGAAACCATCAGCATGCGCACAGTACATTTGTGAGGTCTTGGTGCCACAGTCTTGTGTTCAAGAGCAAGGTCAGTTAAGAAACAGTTGGGTTCCAGTCCCATTTCACCATTTACTGTGATTACGGGCAAGTCGCTTCTTTTTGAAGGTTAGCATCTTCCTCTGAAAAAATAAGGATAATAATAGTAACTTCATAGGGCAGCTGAGAGGGTTAATACATGTAAAGGGTTTAACACAGAGACTGGCACAGTGAAAGTGGTCAATAAATACGAGCTATTATTATCACTAACACTGTGTCCCCGTTGCCTCCGCGCCCGGACGTCAGGGAGTGTTGCTGCAAGAGAGAGAAGGCTGCCTCCTCCGAGCCCCTCCCGGCGCGGCCGCGGGCCCGGCTCGACCACCGCAGCTTGGACTCCAGCCTCGTCGGCCCACAGCTCCGTGAAGCTGCGGAGCAGGGCCCTGCGGGGGGCGCGCACCGTAAGTCTGTGCGTCGAGGTAGAAGGCGGTACCAGGCTGGGCAGGGGTCGGCGAGGCTAGGCAGAGCTTTGGGTCCCGGGGAGCTGGCGAGGGTGGCTAGGCCGAGGGGATCACCGGGGACCGGGGTCTCTGGAGGGCGGGGAGCAAGGCGCCTCGGCCTTCCTGCAAGCTGCGGCAAGTGCTTCGAGGGGTTCACGCTAGTGCGCCCGCGCCCGGCCCAAGATGGCGCCCCTCCCCCCGCGCGCGCCTCCGCTGCTCGGGGCGCGGCCCCGCGGCCCGCGCGCTCCTGGGCGGGGGATGTTGTGATGGAGAAGCCGCGGCGGAGCCCGAGCCCCGCAGCCTGAATCGCCTCCGCCGCCTGGGCCTGGGGCCTCGCCGCGCAGGTAGGAGCTGCCCCTACGGGGGCCCAGGCCCGGCGGCCCGATCTGGATCCCCACAGGCCGGCAGATCCTGCAGCCCCTTCCCCGCGGCAGCCCGGGCTCCCCGGCCAGGCCCCATCCCCACGGGTGGCCCTACCACTGCGCGCCTGCAAACTGCCCTCCTGCCCCACCTCGCAGACGCCACCACGGTCTTCATGCCGCCCGCTCCACTGACCTTTACCTCTTGCTCCTCCGGGATGTATAGGGGGCGAGAATAGGGGACGCGAAGGGAGAGGGGGTGGGGATGGGGGAGGGGAGGTCAAGGGCTGGTAAGGGGACATGGAGTGAGGTGGGGGAGGGTGGCCGCAAGATTCTAGCTGGAATCCCAGGCCCAAGATCTGTGAAGCCGCATTCTGTCGCCCTCAGCGACAGACCAAGGGGTGTGCCCTGGGGCCGGCTGTGTCCCAGCTCAGCCCGGAGGCCTAGCATTGGCAGGAGCACTCATGAGGAGCAGTTTCCCCATCGCCAATACAGAGGCTGTTCCAAACCTGTTTTCAATATGCCTGTGCCATTCTTGTATTCCAAGCCCCAGCTATAGTCCTAACTCTCTCCACCCTTTAAAGCCAAAACCCTGCCTACACTTGCTGTCTTCTTTTCCTCACTTTCCATTCATTGCTAAAATCACTCCACTCTGTCTTCTGTCGCTGACACTCACCCAAACTGTTCACACCAAGGTCACCGGAGACCTCCGTGAAGCTAAATCCTATGGATACTCTCTCATTAACCCCTTTACCTTTTAGTAATATACAGTGGTGTCTGCGTACTCTTCTTGAATCATTTTCCTGGGTTCTGTCCTACTGCATTGTCTGCTCCTTCTCATCTCATTTGATCCTTGATGTAATGGTTAAAGCAGCTCTAACCAAAAGGTCTGCGACTGAACCCAGCAGCTGCTCTGCAGGAGAAAGAAGGCCGTCTGCTTGGTAAACATTTACAGGCTTGGAAACCCTGTGGGGCAGTTCTGCTCTGTCCTCTCAGATATCTCTGAGTCAGAATCGACCTGATGGTAGTAGGTTTGGTTTTGGGTTTGGTCTCCTGCTTTTAGATGCTGGTGAGGCTCTTTGTTGGTGAGCTGTCTTTCCTCATTCTGTATTGTCTCGCTGGGAATTTTATTCATTCCCAAGCTTCACATTCTATATATATGCTGATGATTCCCAGCTTTATGTATCTGACCAGACCTCTTTCCTGAATGCCAGACTCATGTATCCAACTGTCCTCTTAACATCCCCATGGAAGTCCAAAGGTATTCCAAACCTACAGATTCCAAGCTGAATCGATTACCTTTCCTATATTCTCTCTCTACCCTACTTCTATATTTGTTCTTCCTTCAGATCTCAGAAATGGCCACTTTCCAATCAATTCCCAGGTTGGGATCCTGGGCAACATTCTAGATTAATCTTTCTTCCTCATTCTCCACATCTAATGTCACCAAATTCCGTCATGTTCACTACCTAAATATTTCTCGGATCCATTTATTTCACCCCATCCCCACTGCTACCAGACTTCTAGGCCGCCATCCTTTTACCCTTGACTGCTCTAATAGCATACCCTCTTGACTATTGTCCCCTAAGTATTCTCAATACAGCACCCAGAGTGATCCTTTTTTAAAAATACATCTGACTCTTTGTTCATTCAGCAGATATGCTTTGAGCACCTAATATGTACCAGACAATGCGTTAGGCATTGAAGATATAATTATATACGACATAGACCAGGTCCATGTCCCTGTGGAATCGACAGTTTGGGGGAGGAGGGTAATCAAAAAAGAATATAATACAAATAAAAATGTAATAAATACTATCAAGGAAAAGTGTATGGTTCTTTGAGTATACACAAGAACAGAAGCTAAATTGTTCTGGGGATGGGGAAAGTGGGTCCAGGAAGGCTTCTCTGAGAACATGACTTTTGAGCTAAGATATAAAGGATGAGTAGGATTAATTAGACTGAGAGGGTAGGGAAAGAAGGGCCCAGACAGAAGGAAAATCACGTGCAAATACGCTGTGGAAGGAAAGAGCATGATGTCTTTGAGGAATTGAAAGAAGTCCAGTGAGAATGAAGAGCAGAGTGACTGGAGCTATAGAGGAGGGCAAGGGCCAGATGAAGAAGGAGACTTTCGACATGTTAAGGATTTTAGTCTTAAGGTATTTGTCCTTGGCATGGAATGTTGATGGGGGTAGATGTGAAGCATGGGTGAAGTCCAGAAATTTTTCTGAGAGAAAATTGCCAGTACTGAGGATGAATTGAATATAGGGAGTGAGGAAAAGGGAGGTGTCAAGGATGATACTTCTGATTTGCAGAAGAGAATACATGATCAAAGCAATCCATGTGATTTTCCTTCTGTCCGGGCCCTTCTTTCCCTGCCCTCTCAGTCTGAGTAATCCCACTCATCCTTTACTTCTTAGTTCAAAAGTCATGTTCTCAGAGAAGCTAAACTCCAACCCCAGGACAGAAGCTTTCCCCAACCCCAGGACAATTTAGCTTCTGCTCTTGGGTATACTCAAAGGATCCTGACTCATGGAAGGGAACTAGGTGGGTGTGGGAATGAGAAACATGAGTATAGCTTTAGGCTTATTGGTTCAAGGGGTCTTTGAGACATCCAAGTGGAGATGTTGAGTAGAAAGTTGAATGTACACATGTGGAGCCAGATAAGGCCTTGAAATGGAGGCATGCATTTGCCAATCATCACTGTATAGATGGTAACTGAAGCTATGGGCACAAATGAGTACCCATTGAATATGTTGTTGTTGTTATGTGCTATCAAGTTGGCCCTGACTCATAGCGACCCCTCCTTGGGTTTCCAAGGCAGTGTCACTACGGAAGTAGATTGCCCAACTTCCCTTCTGAAGAGTGGCTGGTGGGTTGGAACTGCCAGCCTTCTGGTTAGCAGTCAGATGCCTTAGGCACTACGCTATAAGTACACACCATGAGAAACTCCATCATGGAGTGGCTCATAGAGGAAGAGCCAGCAAAGGTGTCTAAGAAGACAACAAGCAGTAACCAGAAATATGGAAAGAGAGCCAGAAGATGTGTGTGGAAGCCATAGATGAGTGATGGGAATGGCCCACAGTATCAAATGTTACAAATAGTATAACCAAGATGACGTCTTCAAGTGTCCCTTGGATTAAATGACACAAGGGCCATGCCAGCCTTGGTAGTAGATGTTACAGAGTGGTACTGGGCATTGGAAGCTGGATTGGAAAGGCTGAGGAGTGAGTGGGAAGTGAGGAAATGACAACAGTGAGTACAGAGACCTCTTTCAAGAAATTTGCCTGTGTAGAGGAGAAAAGAGAGCAGAGAGTGGCTCTGGAAGGCTGTTGGGTCAAGAAAATTTTCTTTATAAACTGGGAGATGGTAAATCCCATTGAGAAGGAGAGGTTGATGATATAAAAGAGAAAACCAGTGAATAAGCAACAACAAAAAGAAAAAAAACAACCATTTGCCATAGGGTCGAATCTAACCCATGGTGACTTCATGTGCATCAGAGAAGAACTATGTTCCATAGAGCTTTCTGTGGCTGTTTTTTTTTTTTTTTTTTTTTTTTTTTTTTCCCCTTTTTTCTTGTGGTTAACCCCGTTCCTTGTTTTTCTTTTTTAATTTTTATTGTGATTTGGCTGAAACTTTACAAAGCAAATTCACTTTCCATACAGCAGTTCACATACCCTTCGTCTCATGACACTGACTACAATTTACCACAATGCAACAGCTCCCCTCCCACTTCCTCCCCATAGTTACCTCTTCCCTGTGTCCATCTCTCCATGCACCCCTGCCCCCTGAGCTGTCTCCCTGTGCATACACAGCCCTTTCTCCCATGATTATTCTCTCCAAGGAGTGTATCTGCCTCAGGTAAATATTCCCCTCCTGTGCCTGTCTGTTATTTGGCTGGAAACCACAGGAGTGGGTTCAGTGGCTGATTTTTGCAAGTATATCACCAGGCCTTTCTTCCAAGCCTCTGGGTGGATTTGAACCTCTGAATATTCAGTTAGTAGCCAAGTTTATGAACTATTTGCGCCGCCCGAGGACTCTAAATAAATACTGGTGGAAAACTCTTGGAAAGGCAGGAAAGGAAGGATCCAAATTACAGGCAAAATGATTGGTTTTAGGACTAAGGTAAGAAAAGGTCAGGTGCCAAAGAAGTTTGTAAGTCTGAGGATGTTTCCAAGTTGTGGTTTCTAATTCCTCTGTGAATTAGGAGGGGAGATCCTCCTCTTTGGGAGGGAGGGGAAAGAAAAAAGGCTGTCCATCTAGAGTTGTGTTCTAGTCTCAGCTTCAACCTTACATCCTCAGGCCAGCCATGGCTGTTGTCTGGACCAGAATAAGTGTCAGGTTTCTGTAGGTCCCTGTTCTTCCCCCATTATAATATTCAGTCATTTAGTCAACAAATAAGGGGTGCTTAATAGGTGCTAGACATTGTTTCAGATACTGGCGGTACACTGCACTGTGAAGGCTTATCCAGTGATGGTGTCCCCACTGGATTGTGAGCTCTAGCTGGGGAGGATCCATTTCTTTGTCATTCATCACTCTCCCCCATTCTCAGCACAGTGCTGGTATAGTGTGAACAGTCAGGATAGGGTCCCTCACTGTCTCCCTGACTTTGAGCAGGACTCACTCTTAGTCCTACAGTTTGCTATCAGCTCCTTCAGGTTTTGCTACCACTCTTTTTAGCCTTGGCCCTGAAGGTAGCCCTACCCAGCTCCCAATCTTGAGCCAGAGCCCTTTGATTCTTTCCCTTCTTTTTAAATACAGGTATGGATATCTACAGTGAGAGGAGAGAGTTTGAGTTGTGTCCTTTCTTGAAGAAGCTGGGCATCTGGTCATGCTTTTGACCTTAGAAAGTGAGGTAATGACCACATGGCTTTGAGCTAGCTACTCAGGCCTCTTCTTACCCACAGCAGAACTTTCCAATTCCTCCCCCATACTTTCTTGCCCTGGAACAGGTAGGCAGGGCTTGCCCTTCATGGTCCCAATCACAAAGTTCATTGTCCTTTTGAGACCACATTCTAAGTGCTAAAGAAGGTTAGTCCCAGCCTGACCTCTGAGAAACTTGGATTCATACACTATTGCTTCAGAGAAGGGCTCATTATCCCTATAATTCTCTGAGTGTGGCAGTCACAGGGTCCTCCATGTCCTCTAACTCAAGGCAATGCCACTGTTAAACAGCCTTTGAGCCAGGATATCAATTTAAACTAAATCCTTTCTCTGTCCCTTCTATGATCTCAGCTCTAACTTGTCTAGGACCTCTGTCCCATTTTACTTCCTTTTCAAGGACCCTTCTTCATTCTCCAGCACCCTCCCTAATACTCCCAGTGCCCATCCTCAACCTGTGGGACCACACAAACCTTTCTTAGTGTCTATTCCTAAGCTGTTCCAAGCTTCCTAGTTCCTAGTTCCTCCTACCCCTTCCTCTGTCCCAACCCTCCCTCCCTCCCTTCCACTCCAGGGGTCAGCTATGTGGCAAATATACAACATATGCACCTCAGTACTGGGCATGCAAAGTTGAATAAGACATGGTTCTAGATGTTTGGATAGCATTCAGTACTGGGTATTGTGAGACGCAAAGGAAGGAATAGTCCCTTGAGGGTGAGGGAGAGGACTGAAAAGGAAAGACTTACTACTGTGGAGCTGTGACTGCTGAGCTTAGTTCTGAAACATGAGCAGAGGCTCTCATAAGGAGAGAAGATTTCAGGCTGAGAGAGCAGTATAAACAAAGACCCAGTGCTGTGAGAGTCTGACATGTTCCAGAATCTGCCACACTTCCTGTGGCTGGAGTATAAGGTGTGAAGGAAGCAGGGAGTGGGAGGAGGTTTGAGAGGTCATAGAAGTTGGCTCAAGGAGGCTCGTGGGTGTCCTGCTAATGAGCTCAGACATTATCCTAAAGGCAGCGATGAGCCATCTAACATTTGAACCAGGGAGTGACACAATCTGGTTTCCATTTTTGGAAGATTACTGTGGTTCAGGGTAGAGCTGGTGGCGTAGTCCCTAAGGCATCTGACTGCTAACCAGAAGGCTGGTGGTTCAAAGTCACCAGCCACTCCTTAGAAGGAAGATTGGGCAATCTACTTCTGTAGTGATGGTGCCTCGGAAACCCAAGGAGGGGTCGCTATGAGTCAGACCTGACTTAATGGCAGCGGGTTGGTTAGAGGCAGAATCATCTATTTTTTCCTTCATTTTTTCCAGTGACCACACATTTTCTCCTGCCCACACTGAGCCAACCAAGTAGTTATATGTGAGGCAGACACACAAACAGAAACTTTTTTCCACTTATTTCACAGATGTGTGCCTAACATGGTGCCAGGGTCTGAGGAGCTAGAAACAACAGAAAGGCAAGCTGTGGCTTCTGCTTCAGGATCATACACTGCAGCTGAAAAGCTGGCAGCCTAAAACACCTCGCTGCCAACCTGTGCTTGGTGCTGAGAGCTACACTGGTGAAGCAGAGAGAACTGAGGCAATGGGGAGTAAGGGAAAGAAAGAGCTCCTCAGTGGAGGAACAGGGAGATAGGGAATTCAGAGATAAGAAATTGAAAAGAAAGAACTCTACAGTGAGAGTCAGAAGGAAATATTTGCAATGAAGGAGAAATATAAGCGTCTATGTATTGAGGGTGAACAAGTAGGAAAGGAGAACTAGGGTGGAGTATTAGGGAAGGAGTGAATAATATGGTAGGGCCTATCTGAAGGAGAGGAGTCCTTGGGTGACACAAATGGTTAAGAGCTCAACTACTAACCAAAAGGTTACTGGTTTGAACCCAGCCAGAGGCTCTTTGGAAGAAAGGCCTGGTGATCTGCTTCTGAAAGATCTGTGATGCACGGGTGGTAACTGTGAGTTGGAATTGATGGTAACTGGTTTGGTTGGTTGGTTGGTCTGAAGAAGGGATCTGCAGTGAGGAGTCAGGATGAGAGAATTGGTAGTTGCTGGTCGGGGAGAAAGAACTGTATGATAGGGCCAGTGGGGATCATGGAAGGACAATGAGCAGAGCAGTGGAAGGTCAGGGAGGGTGAGGAATATGGAACAGGGCCTTGGAAGTGGGGCCCCTGTGGCAGTGGGGCTAGAAGGAGAGGTAGGATTCAAACTATTGTGAAGAAGGTGCTCCATGAAGACTTGTGTTAAGGGAGTGCTGGAGGATGAGAGGGGTGAGCTGCAGTTGTGGAACAGGAGACCCCTCACCTGAAGGGCAGGTGGAGTTTGGTTGGGGCACTATGACTAGGGGTTGAGAAGCAGTAACATGGCCAACGTGTGATTTTGGAAGCTTGCAGAGGAGGTGCTATAAAGGGGCCTGGAGGAGATGAGAGGGTCAGTTCACACATTAATTCCACAAATATTTATTGAGTCCCTGCTCTGTGCCAAGACTGTGCTATGCATTGAGGAGAGGGGCGACAGAATCTTCACCACCGTGGAACTTAAATTATTGGCATGAGGAGATAATCATTAATAAATAAATAAATAGTAAATTAGCTTGTCAGATGATGATAAGAGGAGGCTAAAGGGTTTGGAGGTTGCTGAGAAGGGGATTTGGTGACCTGCAGCTTTTAAAAGGGTGCTCAGGGAAGGCCTTACTGAGAAAGTGACATTTGGGCAAAGATCTGAATGACTGGAGAGTGCAGATCAAAGACTGGCAGTGACCTAGGCAGGGAACATTGAAGGAGCTTGAGGAGGATTGGTGCCAAGGTGAGATACTTCATAGAAACAGCCACCAAAGCGTAGCTTCCACTGGCCAAAGAAGCCATGAATCGGCATTGGAGGCCATTCATCTGTGACCTGCCTTCTCAGTGCCATGCCCTTGATGGCTAGGTCTGCAGCTTGTTCTTCCTTGTCCTCACAATCCCCAGTATGGAGTGGGCTTGGGGCTGATTTATGATGACAAGAACACAGCCTGGGATGCTCACAGTGGTAGTAGGGCCTGGGCTAACAAGATGGCAAGAGGAAGGGGGCAGACAGTGTCCAGTGTCCTGAACTCATCAGCCAGTCTCATGCCAGCTGTGTCCCTGGCACAGTAGGCTCCAGCCAGATGAGCTGGGGGTGGGGTGCACAGAGAGCCATTGTATGGAGGCTCTGCTGGTGACAGTGAGGGCAGAGCAGGGATAGGCTGTGCTACCCCAGGATGTTCAGGACTGGGGAATTTGGGGATGGGGTAGATTGTAGATCTGGGGCTAGACTGTAACAGGGTGATGGTGCTGGACAGAAATTGATCTCAGTCATTTTTGTGGAAAAGTAGCTGGTGGGACAGAGGAGTGTCTGCTGGCCTGTTGAATGCAGGGAGATGAGGAGGTGCTGAGTCCCGGGGTAGAAGCAAGGGTGCTGTTGTCCTGGCTTAGAGACTCACCATGATCTTCCCTCCTCACCCCACAGGATCTTCCAAGGCCATGTCTGTTCCATCGTCACTGAGCCAGTCGGCCATTAATGCCAACAGCCACGGAGGCCCCGCACTGAGCCTACCCCTGCCATTGCATGCTGCCCACAACCAGCTGCTCAACGCAAAGCTGCATGCCACAGCTGTGGGACCCAAGGACCTGCGCAGCGCCATGGGGGAGGGTGGTGGGCCCGAGCCAGGCCCTGCCAATGCCAAGTGGCTAAAAGAAGGCCAGAACCAGCTCCGGAGAGCTGCCACGGCCCACCGTGACCAGAACCGCAATGTGACCTTGACCCTGGCAGAGGAACCCAGCCAGGAACCTGAGACAGCACCCTTGGGCCCCAAAGGTCTGATGCACCTCTACTCTGAGCTGGAGCTCTCAGCCCACAATGCAGCCAACCGAGGGCTCCGAGGACCTGGTCTGATCATCAGCGCCCGAGAGCAGGGGCCAGACGAAGGAGAGGAGAAGGCGGCAGGGGAGGCTGAGGAGGATGATGAGGAAGAGGATGATGACGAGGAGGAGGACTTATCTTCTCCACCAGGGCTGCCTGAGCCCCTGGAGAGTGTGGAGGTTTCCCCGGGGCCCCAGGCCCTTGCAGAGGGCCCCCGGGAGCACAGCAAGAGTGCCAGCCTCCTGTTTGGCATGCGAAACAGTGCAGCCAGTGATGAGGACTCAAGCTGGGCTACTTTATCCCAGGGCAGCCCCTCCTACGGCTCCCCGGAGGACACAGGTACATTGTGGACTTTGATGGGGGAATGTGGGGGGGCTTGAAGGTAAAGGTAAAGGGCCAGCCTGGGCATGAATCCACCACAGGCTAGGCCCAGGTTTTCCTGACATTTCCAAGCTCATAAAGCACTTGAGCAAGCTGATAGATCCATCCATCATGCATACCTGGATGGATGGTGGACTAGCTCCATTTGTTATTAATTAATAACAAATATTAATCTTCACAATAATGCTGTGAGGTCAATACTATCATCATACCCACATTGCAGATGAAGAAAGGGACCCAGAGAGATTTAGTAGCTTTCCCAAGGTCACATACAGTCAGTAAACAGTAGGACTGAGATCTAAAGCAGGTCTGAATCCAGGGCCTGAGCTCTTAGCTCCATATTATGCTGCCCCCAGTGCACATGGTATGATGAATTGAGATGCACTTGAGGTAGTCACTGTCTTTTAACAGGCTAGGTCTGAAGGTAGCAGCCAGTGTCTCCCCACTGTGAGGTCTGTGTGGAAAGACTGAGAGGTGTTTTATGCTTATGATCTGCATGCCCAGGCCAGAGCATTGCTCTGGGCATTGCAAAGATAACTGTTTTGTAAGGATAGGATATTGACTGAAAGTTAGGAAACAAAGGAAGAATAACTTAGGTTTCTTTGGGGTTTGAAAAGAACAACAAAAAAAGAATAGGTATTAGGATCTAAGGATTGATCAATATCTCGTCCCATTTGAATAAACTGAGCCTCCACATTTGCTGATACCACACAGAGATGCAGACAGAGCTAAGTGAAGAGATAGTGGGCTGTAGCCACAACCCTGAAGCTTTGTAGAATGGGAATGAAAGTAAAGATTAGGGAAATATTTATTGGCACCAGGCAGCAGGTGTCATCCCAGACCTCAAACTGGAACCTTGGCAGGGAGCATGCACTTCAGAGGAGCCTCAGTTAGCACAACACTCGCTTTTGAAACACTCATTATGGAAATTTTCACACATAGACAAAAGTAGAGAGACTAGAATAATGAACCTAATTTACCCATCACCAGTTTCAACAGTTATCCTTGGGCCCCAATCTAGGTTATTTTGAAACAAATATATATATATATATATATGAAATATGTTTTTGTTGTGATTTGAGTGAAAGTTTACATAGCAAATTCTTTTTCCATACAGCAATTCACTGACATTGACTGCAATTTCCACAATGCAACAGCTCTCTTCCCACTGCCTCCCCATAGTTACTTCTTCCCTGTGTCCTTCCCTCCCATGCACTCCTGCCCCTTGAGCTGTCTCCTTGTGCATACACAGCCCTTCTATTCTCCCATGATTGTTCTCTTCAAGGATTATATCTACCTAATGTAAATGTTCAACTCATATGCCTGTCTTTTGTTTGGCTGGAGGCCACAGGTGTAGGTTCAATTGCAGCTAGGGGCCATAGTCTTGGGAGTTCCATCAGGCTCTATCAGACCAGCAAATCTGGTCTCCTTTTCTTTTTATGATTTTGAGTTTTGTTCCACATTGTTCTCTTAAACAAATATTTTTATCTGTAAATATTTATTCCTGCATTTCTGAAAGATCCCCCCACCCCCACCTTTTAAAAAAACTTCTGATTGTTTGAATTGGGATACAAATAAGTCCCAACTTATAAATAGGTTCAGACATTGTGATGGTGTTGATATGTCTTTTGAAGTTTCTTTGGATCTGTAAATTTTTGCTCTATCTTTCTCTTTAGTTTTTTGCTTGCTGTTTTCTTTGTTGCTTTGTTTTGGTTTGTGTGTGTGTGTGTGTGTGTGTGTTTTAATTGAAGAAACTGTGTTGTTTGTGCTGAGATTTTTTCATGGTCTGGATCTTGCAGACTCTTTCCCTGTGGTGATGTTTAACATGTTCCTCTTCCCCTGGATTTCCTATAAATTGGTGGCTAGTTCTAGAGACTTGCTCAAATCCAGATTTGAGGTTTTGTTTCATTTTAGCAAAAACACTTCATAGTGTCTGTTTGCCTCTCTTTTTGCAATGTTCACACCCTTTGATGGGCATGGCCTTGATCCCTGGTAAAGGGAACAGCCCCTATGTCACTGCATCTGGTTATTGATAGGCTTGGGGGAAATGTAATCTCAGTGGAGCCAATTCATACAACTTTTCAAGGAAAACTGAGAACTGCATATTGATGTGAAATATCCCAATTTTTTAATGTTAGCAATTAATGTTTTTTAATTTTGTTTTTTAGCACTATTCGGGCCACACAGAATCTATCTGAGGCTTGCAGGTTGCCAGTGTGCAGCGTCTGTGCTAGGAAGTGTGAGCCAGAGGCCAAAATACAAAGAAGCTGGTTGCTCACTGCCTCCTGGGAGGGTCAGGGTGCTGGCTGCACCCATGAGCCATCTAGAATCAAAGGATAAAAGTACTAAAGAACCAGGAAGGTGTGTGAGGCATAAGCAGTGACCTCAGCAAAGGCGAGAGGGTGGTCAAGGGTCATGCTCTAGTGGACACTGTGGAAACTGATGGTAGAGGCATGGGGCCAGCCTAGGGAAGGGATTGGGTCACTGCTTACTCTTTTGTGATTGTTTTGCTGTGGCCGTGAGGCCACAGAAGAGGCTTCTGTAGGAATGGGGCTGGAAATGAGCAAAAAATTATTTTCTCTTTCTCACCTTAGGATCTCTACAGTGTTGTTGATTAAATGTGTACAAGCATGAACACATGAATGAATGGTGAATGAATAAATGATTGAATGAATGAATAAAGTTTACTATCTGTGCTGGATACATTCTTGTGCCAGGCCTTGTCCTAGGTGCTTGGGAATTTTTCTGCAGGGAACAGATGTTTATACTTATGGCACACACAATCTAATGGGGAGACAGAAATAAGCAGGCACTAAGAATCAATATGATGAGCACTGGGGTGTGGGAGGGACAGGAGGGATACCTAGCCCTGCTTATGTATGTGGCAGAAAAGTGGGGAAGAATTTTAAGATGTGACCTTTACCCTGATGCCTGAAGAAGGAGTGGGAGATAGCTGGTGAAAACAGAGGGAGTAAGGCTGTCCAGAGAAAGGACGAGGAGCATGTCCAAGGCAGAGAGACAGAGAAGGATTGTAGAGAGTGGTCAGAGATAGGCTGAAATGCTCATAGTTAGGGGCCCTTAACAGCATGTAAACCCTTTGGAAGAATTTGAAATTTATCCCAAGAGCGATGAGAAAATAATTAAGGATATTAAGTTGGAGAGTAACTTGATCAGCTTAGCATTTTGGAAGAATCATTCAGGCTGTAGTATGCAGCCCAGGTTGGAGGAAACGAGACAGGAAGCAGGGAGACCAGTTATGAGGCTGTTGCAATGATCCAGGCAAAAAATAATAGTAGCCTAGATGATATGAGGGTTGAGAGAAGGGGAGAGCATTAAGTGAATCACTAATTCCTGAGCAGATGAATACACTTGGCCTAACCATTAAGGCATGCTTGGATGGATGGATGGATGAATGAAGATACATGAATGTTTGAATTCACTCGTGAGTGCCTGAATGAGCCCATGCGAGAGTGAAGGCACGCACTCATGAATAATGCATGTATGTGGAAGCAAAGGCCCTGGTGGGGCTGTGCTTGGAGGGATATGTGCCAGGCTCCAGAAGGGCCTCCCAGATGGTCAAGGGGGGGAGAAGCTGCCCCTCCAGGACAGATCGGAAGGATGAAGCTCTTTGAAACAGGAAGGTACAGGCTGGCAGGGATGACAGATGGGATTGGTGTGCGTGACTCAGTTAAGGAATGGTGAATTGGTCCTCAGATTCTAGAAGTGGGAATTCAGGAATTGCTGGAGTATATATCCCCTCAAGAAGACGGGTGTGGCTGTGGAGGACCTGAAGGGCCATGGGTGGTGGTGTTCCTGGAAGGTTTTAGCAGGCGAGCCCTGCTGGGCTGAAAGGTATTTGGAGAGAGCAGGTATTCTCTCTCAGTGGCTCTGACAAGTGCAAGGTGCCCATTGGGCATCTTATTCTCTAGGGCCTGAGGTTGGGAGGGAGGGAGGTAGAGATGGCTCTCTAGAAGGCTGCATGAGCAAGAAGAGCCCCTCCCTCACTAAGTGTCTATGAGTCTACCTTCATTTGGAAGCTGAGGGTGGTGAGATACTTTGCCTCAATAACTCACACACAAGGTGTTCAGTCAGTTACCTTGGTGTAACCACGCCCATCCCAGCCCCCATGGATATACCCACTGTGCCTGGTTGCCCAGCAGCCTAGGTTTTGGGACTGCCTACCCCTCAGTGCTGCCTCTTGGACCAGTCAGGATTCCTGGTTTCCCTGGTAACGGGAAGCACGTCAGCAGTCCGGGCGCTCCCAGCCGGTCCTGGTACTGCGGTTGCCGAGGAGACGCTGCAGCCTAGCTGGGCCTGGCAGGTGAGGGGGGGTGGCTGGGAACCCCAAGCCTAGCCTCAAGCTTGCTGGGACCCAGGCCCTCCAGGCTCACCCTTAGTCTCAAACTGCTGGGCAGGTTATAGGCAGGGAAAGCTTCTCTGGGGGCCTTGAAGCCACACCCTATTTGTGCTGCGAGCTATGAGCTCTGCAGGGCCCCATGTGGCTGGGATATTCCTGAGGGGCTGAGCCTCCTGGTATCCTTGAGACAGGGCTTGACTAAGGCACTGAGGAGACCACTAGAGGGTGGGATGTATACAGATTCAGGTTGAGGAGGGGGACAGGGTTAGGAAGAAGAGATGTGAGCTGAAAAGCCTGGGGTCTCATGAACCTCTTTCTCCCCCCATTCCCACCCCATGGAGGCCTCCTCACATGGTGGTCCTGGCCCCTCCCTATGCGCTCCAAGCGGGGGAGGATCTTGCCTGGCAGACGCTCTGCCCTGGTGAGAAGGGGGCGGGATGAGCTTTTCTCTGCAGCCCAGCACCAGGCTGTGAGCCCAGCTGTCTGGGCTGGAGGGGCTGTGAGGAGGGAGGGTGGAGGCAGGAGGGGCCGGGAAAGAGCACCATGTTCTCCCAGGACTTTTTTCTGGCCATCATCCTGCAGGACAGTAGCCTAGGTGAGTGGCAGCAAGGGGCTGGGCATGATGTGGGGCGGGGCTGGCCGGGAGAGCAAAGAGATGGGGAGGAGGCGGGATTGGGGCTAAGAGATGGAGTGGTGTGGTTCTACCAAGGGAGGAAGGGTGTATGCTACAGGTGAGTGTAGGCCCATGAAATGATTGCCTGCAACTGTGTGTGTGTGGCAAGTTTCCTGTGTGAGCGTCTGTGGTGACTGCACACATGGGGCAGGGGTTGATGTATACTCTGTGTATGAGTGTGTTCCCCATGTATCCACACATGTGTTGGGGGTCATTGGGGCTGTGGTACCTACACATATGGAATATATAGCTGTGGGTGTGCACATCTCTGTGTACAAGGTTTGCATTAGTTTACAGCTGGAGTTGGTGTGTGTGTTCCTGTGCACACATGTGTGCACCTGTATGTGATATGTACCATCTGTGCTGGCAATGTCTGCGTGTACACATAGTGTTGTCTTTGTGGTGTTTGCACGGGCGTGTGGCAGCACTTTGTATATCTTGTATGCCATTGTGCACATGTATGTGTGCACAAGGTGATAAGTGTGTACGCCTTCATGTACCCTGGGATATGCATATGTATGAGAAGAGGTTAATCAGGGTGACCTAACTTCCCTCCCTCCATTCCTTCTTTGCTTCCTGCCTTCCCTTCATGTGGCCACTCTAGCCAGGAACAGGGCCCATGAGGAGACCGGAACCATGTCCCCTGTGGTGGCCCCCTATGTTGTGACTCCAGACTGTAGGCTCTAGGAGAAAGCATGAAGCGTATTGTGCCATAGCCCTTCTGCCACCCCTCCTTCTCAGCTGTGGGACTCAAGGAGGGGACTGTGCAAAATTGCCCCACTGCTCCTGCTTATTGGGTAGGCAGACCCTCACCAAGCCCTCCACCTGGTAGATTCCTTCTGGAACCCCAACGCCTTCGAGACGGATTCCGACCTGCCAGCTGGATGGATGAGGGTCCAGGACACCTCAGGAACCTACTACTGGCACATCCCGACAGGGACCACCCAATGGGAGCCCCCAGGCCGGGCTTCCCCATCACAAGGGAGCAGCCCCCGAGAGGAGTCCCAGGTGAGGCATGTTGGCTTTGGAGCAGGGCTGAGAGGGGCTGTGTGCTGTTGGAGCAGGATGAGCCACCCACTCACTGCTCCCATTTCTCCTCCTAGCTCACCTGGACAGGCTTTGCCCATGGAGAAGGCTATGAGGATGGAGAGTTTTGGAAGGTGGGTGAGCGTCCTGCTTCATGACTGGGGGAGCTGGAGAAAGGGCATCATGTTGGTCCTGATTCCTCATCCCCCTTCCTAAGGATGAACCCAGTGAGGAGGCCCCTATGGAGTTGGGATTGAAGGACCCTGAGGAGGGGACATTGACCTTCCCAGCTCAGAGCCTCAGGTGAGTGAAGAGGCACCAGATGCAGTGGGAGAGGCCTATCCAGAAGGGACCTGTGGGGCGGCTCCATATCTGAGGGCCCTGTGTCAAGTGTCACCATCTCCTGCAGCCCAGAGCCGTTGCCCCAAGAAGAGGAGAAGCTGCCCCTACGGAATGCCAACCCAGGGATCAAGGTTTGTTCAAGACCAGCCCCCATTTCCCATGTTGGGCTCCCCCATGTGCAGGAGAGTCCCTCATGTTCTGTCATGTTCTCAGGGCATTTCTGGTCTCAGTAAAGCTCCCTGGGTCCTGAGAGAGGAGCTCGTCTGGTCTCAGCACAGACTCCTGTGTCTGAGCCCAGTGGCCTTCCAGGCTTGGCTCAGGTGCTTGTTTGTACTCACTGGGGTTTCCTTTGAGACCACTGTCCCCTTCCATGGCAGGTCTGTGGTGCTTGTGGAGCTCCTTGGTCTTAGCTCAAACCCCTACCCACCACCACATTCTGGGTGAGGAACTCCTCTTTCTCAGCGCAAAACCTAGGCCTGTGCTGGAAGCTCCTGCTGTCTTAGCTCAGACTCTGTACCTCTGCCCCCCTCTTCTGTGTCTGGCAGTGTTTCGCTGTGCGCTCCCTGGGCTGGGTGGAGATGACCGAGGAGGAGCTGGCCCCCGGACGCAGCAGTGTGGCAGTCAACAATTGCATCCGTCAGCTCTCCTACCACAAAAACAATCTGCACGACCCCATGTCTGGGGGCTGGGGGGAGGTGAGAGCCTGAAGCCAGTGGGATGAGAGTGGGGATGTAGTGAGAGAAGCAAAGGGAATGTGAAAGGTCTGACCTGTCCAAGAGTGAGCACTGGGGGTGAGGAAACTGACTCATCCCTAGTGACAGCTCTGTGAGATGGACGTGTGACCCTCAGTGGGGATCTTGGAGATGGTTGTCTAACAGCAAAAAAAAAACAAAAAACCCACTGCCATCGAGTCGATTCTGACTCATAGTGACCCCATTAGGTTTCCAAGGAGGTCAATCTTTATGAAAGTAGATTGCCTAGTCTTGCTTCTTCAGAGTGGCTGGTGGGTTTAAACCACCAACCTTCTGGTTAGCAGTCAGATGCCTTAGGCACTGTGCTACCAGAGGTCCTCTCGAACAGAAATAGGGATGATGAAAGGGACCTTTTGAGAGATGGCAGGGGTGACCTTATCCAGAGCAAGACCTGCAGGGTAGGAGGTCTTCCACCAAAGCAAGGACTCCAAAGCCATTACTAACTGGCTGTGAACTGGAGGTGACAGGAAGCAGCCTCCTTCCCAGCTGTGACACCACTGAGTGCCTGCTTCCTGGGCCTGCAGGGAAAGGATCTGCTGCTGCAGCTGGAGGACGAGACGCTAAAGCTGGTGGAGCCACAGAACCAGGCCCTGCTGCACGCCCAGCCCATTGTCAGCATCCGCGTGTGGGGCGTCGGGCGGGACAGCGGAAGGTGGGAGCTGGGCCTGGGAGCCTTGGGTGAGGGCTCAGTCAGCAGGCAGAGCGGGCCCTCCTTTCTAACTCTGTTCTCTGCCTCTCTTGTGCTGCCGGACCCAGAGAGAGGTACCATGCCTATTTGCTTTGATCTCGCCTCCTCCCACACCTGGCCCAGATGCAGCCAAACATCCAAGTTCCCTCATTCTGCCCCTTCCCACCCGCTGTGCTTGCCCATCCCCCATCCTTCGCATGCTGGCCTGCCTAACTCTCCAGCCAGAAGGCATCACCCACAGAAAACCACCCCAAGGGCAGGAGGCCTGTAGGCGCTGTGATGAACAGGACAGGGAGGGTGCAGGAGGGCTGGGGACAGGGCTTAGCACCTAATGGTGCTGGGAAACCCTAAGGCTCCCCTCCCCCCAACAGGGACTTTGCCTACGTAGCTCGGGATAAGCTGACCCAGATGCTCAAGTGCCACGTGTTTCGCTGTGAGGCACCCGCCAAGAACATCGCCACCAGCCTGCATGAGATCTGCTCTAAGGCACGGCCCCTCCTCTCCCTGGACTACCTGCCCCCTTTGCTCTACAAGGGTGTGGGTGGGATCACTGAGTTGGAGGCTCCAGGGCGATGAAGCGCTAACAGATCCTCCCTTACTCCTTCCCCCTACACCTTCCTTCCTCAGATTATGGCTGAAAGGCGCAATGCCCGTTGCTTGGTCAATGGACTCTCCCTGGATCATTCTAAACTAGTGGATGTCCCTTTCCAAGGTCAGTGTGACAGCCACACTAAGTCCTGGCAAAGGTTGGGGAGAGGACGAGAGGAGACATGAGCTGCTGGATAGGCATGATAGGAAAATAAATGTACAAAAAAGAATACTTTGTATCCAGTAAGTGGAGGGACTTCAGGTAAAGGGAGGCAGGTTGGAGGGATGGAGGTAGATCATTGGCTGGGGATGTCTGGCTTATGCCCTGGTGGAGGCACTGGGAGAGAACGCACCATGATTGACCTTCTTCTTCTTTCCCACAGTGGAATTCCCAGCACCTAAGAATGAGTTGGTACAAAAGTTCCAAGTCTATTACCTGGGGAATGTGCCTGTTGCTAAACCTGTTGGTATGTGTGGTTGCCACCCTGGGACCCCTTGTTTCCAAAGCTTTACCTTCACTCTCTGTCCTCCAGTGCCTCTCCTTGAAGACTTTCCTCAGGCTCAGTGCCCCTCTGCCCTTTAGGGTTCATCCCACCCCTCTGGACCTCTGTCCCAGTGCACTCCATGTCCTGCCTGTAGCACGGTGTGCTTGGAGGGGGTGATGAGGGGCAGGAGCCAGTGAGCCTTCACCAGGTGTTGACTGTGTAGCTGGTAGTGAGCTGGGCACATAGGAAGACCCCACTCTCGCATCCCACAATAAACTTTTGGTTGGGTTGGAAGGCAGATCTTAGATAATTGGAGACACCAGGAGCAACCTGGAGCTGGGTTCTATATTACAGCACCACCTGTGGGCTTGGAGCATCTAGGGAAAGAAGCAGAGAGTGTAATTGTCATGTGCTTTTTTATTGTTTGTAAAGTACTGACTGTATCCTTTAATTTCTTGATGATCCTATGAAGTTGGGGTTATGATAATACCCATTTTATAGATAAGGAAATCAAGGGTAGAGATCATCTTGTTCGCTTTTATATTTCCAGTGCTATTGCAGTGCCTGCCATTTATTTGTTCTTTCACTTAACAAGTATCTTTGAATGTGCCAGGCTCTGTACTAGGAAACAATGGCTATAAGTGTTGTATTCATAGCGGTTATATACTAGCAGAAAAAATGGGCATCAATCAAATAATCACAGAAATAAATGTGTAATTATAAATTGAGGCATTCATTGAAAGAAAGTAGCAAGGTGCTATGAAACTCTGTAACAGATGAACTTCATCTAGTATGAGGATCAGAAAAAGCTTTCTGGAGACAGTAGCACTTGCACTGAGATTAATCAGTGAATAGGAGTTAATGCAGCAAAGTGAGATGGAGGGAGGGAGAGGAAGTGAAAGATCCTTTCAGGCAGAGTGAACGTATGTGAGAGAGCCCATAGTATGAGGCACTTTGGTACTTAGGAGGCATTGAGAGAAAGCCAGTGATGCAAGGTGAGGCTGAGAGCTGGGCAGTGGTCAGACCCTGCAAGCCCTCATAGGCCACATTAATGATTTTAGTCTTCATCCTAAGAGCAGCAAGGAACTATCTAAGAGTTTTGAGCGGTGGGTTTGACAGAAGCAGATTTGCATTTTGTAAAGCTCATTTTGTCTATACTGTGAAGAAAGATGTTAAGTGGGCAGAGGTAGATCTGAGGAGCTCTGTTAGGAGAATCTTACAGTACTCATGGCCCATAATGAGAGTATCTTGGACTACAGTGGAGCTGAAGAGGAGTTTATAGATTCAAGAGATGTTTAGATGATTAAAGTGAACAGGCCCTAGGGAATGAAGGTGGGTTGTGGGACAGAGGCTTCATTGAAGGATGACTTCTTGGTTTCTGACTTTCAGAACTGACTGGTTAGTAACTATTAGTCACTGACAATGACTATTAGTCAGTAACTGTTGGTCACTGACTGTTAGTGGTGCTGTTCTCTAAAGGTGGCAAACCTTAGAAGAAGCCATTAGAGGAAGTTTTGATGTAGAGTTTGGGAGCTCAGTTTTGGACATGCTGAATCTGAGGTGCCTTTGGGATCACTGAGTGACAAAGTCAAGTTGGCAGCTGGATTCACAGGTCTGGAGCTGAGAATAGAGGTCTGAGTTGAAGATACACATTTGGGCATCACTGAGTTATAGAGATAATCAAAGCCAAGAGTGTGGAGTAGATTGACCTAGAAAAGTGGGTAGCCCTAAGTGAGAAAGGAAGTGAAGCTAGGCTTAACTTGGAGGCCTTCCAACATTAATGGGTTGGGGGAAGAGGATGAAACTGCAAAGAATAATGAGAATAGTGGAAGAGAGGTCAGAGGAAGAAAAGACAGTACTTCAAGGAGTGGTCAGGTATGGTGTCAAAAGACACTTAGGAAGATCTCAGGAAGTGGTGAATGAACAAGCAAATGAACAAACAAATGAATTACATAGCCTTGCCTGAAACCATGCTGTCTTTAATAACTAACACATTTCATTGAGGGCATCCTTCTTAGGAAAGGTGGAGATTGAAATGAGTTTTAAAAGGAAGGCTCAGATTTGCAGATTGAGTAGATATGCCAGTTGGACTCAATGGCTTTGCCAAAGACTTGGAGCTAGAGATGAGAACAGCATACTCAGGCGGTTTAGCTCATCCTTCCTCTTCTTTGCTCCTGTTCCCTGCTTTCTCTTACCCTCAGTTTCTAAACTCTCACTCTCACATCTGCTCCTTTCCATTTGCCACCTTACCCAGGTCCTCACTATGCTAAATCAACTGTCTGCAACCTTCACTTGCCCCTCTGCTGCCCATCAGCTCTCTGGGTCTGCTTTGTGTAAGTCAGAGCTTTCAGACTAGTGGTCTTGAAACTCACATCCAGCTTTATCTTATGCTTCCATTTTAACCTCCAGGAGTTTTGACCCCGGGCCCTCCTAAAGCTGCAATATTCATTATTAATCACTCCTTTATTCAGTGAATGATTGTTCAGTGCCTGATCTGTGCTAGGCACTCTTCTACATTCCTAGGATAGATTAATGAACAAAACTGGCAAAGATCCCTGCCTTCAAGAAGCTTATATTCTAGCAAGAAGAGACACAATAAAATGCATGAATTACGCAGCAGGTGTGAGGGTGACAGCCATGTGTGCTGGAGTAGAACCCTGCCCTGTAGGGTTTTCTTTTTCAAAAAAATTATTTAATTTTATTTTTGGTGAAAATATACACAGAACCCACTCCCATCCCACAGTTTCTAGATAGTGATCCATGAGAGTGGTTGCATTTCTTGCATTGTATTAACATTCTAGTTATTTCTGTTCTAGTGGTTTTACTTCCAGTTACTTCATCTCCCTGCCTCTCAGCCTTCTCAATCTGTGCTTTAAAATAGTTGTGGACATTCCAGTCTTACATGGAGATTTATTTATTTATTTATTTATTTATTTATTTATTTATTTATTTATTTATTTATTTATTTATTTTTTCCCCTGAACACAGAACTCCAACGAGTCAACTAGTGGTGACAATCTTTGTTCTTTTGGCCAGACAGTTAACTTAGTTTAAAGGTGGCTTCAGGGGATACTTCAATTCAAGATATGAAGAGCTACTTAGCACCATTGTTGTTGTTGTTATGTGCCGTCGAGTCGGCCCCGACTCATAGCGACCCCTCCTTGGGTTTCCGAGGCAGTATCACTACGGAAGTAGGATTGCCCAACCTTCCTTCCGAGGAGTGGCTGGTGGGTTTGAACCGCCAGCCTTCTGGTTAGCAGTCAAGTGCTTTAGCCATTATGCTACCAGAGCTCCTCTTAGCATAGTCTTAGAAACTCCTCCAGCTTCAGTAGGCCCAGTAGGTCTGGATTCCTTAAGAATTTCAAGTTCTGTTCTACATTTCTTCCGTTTTTATCAGGATTCTTAGACTGTGTTCCCGATCAGAATGCTCAGTAGTGGTAGCCGGGCACCATCTAGTTCTTAGGTGTTGAGGCGGTGGACGCAGTGGTTTATGTAGACAATTAGTGCTGTAGTCAGTTCCTTTTCTAATTCTTGGGTTTCCTTCTTTCTTTTTTTGTTTCAAATGAATGAAGACATCATCTTATCTATTTATCTTAGATGGCCACCCTTAAGCTTTTAAGACCCTAGACACTACTCACCATACTGGGAGATATTATACTTTAAAGGCTATATTATACAAATTGACTGGATTATCCCACAAGACCGTGGCCTAAGCCCCGAAACCAAGAGAACTAATCCTCTGAAGGGACTGGTTATGTCTAATTAGTATCAGCATCTATAGTGCACCCCATTTTATTTGTTTTATTGCTGCAAAACCATACATGACCTAGCATTTGCCAATTCATCCCTTTTCCCTGTGATTGACAGCATTTACATCTTTCCCATTTCTATGAATAAAAACGTGAGTACCACCTAGGGAGTCCTTCTCCCTCCTCCCCCATCATCCCACCCCTTGGTAGCCACTAATGAACATTCGTTTCTGTGTATTTATGTATTCATGTAATTTCATAAAACTGATCCATAGAGCTTTCAGTTCTTGATTTTTTTGGAAATAGATCACCAGGCCTTTCTTCTGAGAGACCTTTCCATTAGCATCTGAGCACGTTAACTGTTTACACTACCCAGGGACTGCTTGAAGGCAACAAGTGTTATGGGAAAAAAAGAGGCACAGTATGATAAAGGGGGTTGGGGGCGCGGGGCTGAGAGTCGGGTTAGGTTGCAGTCCTGAGTTGTTACCAAATCAAGTAACAGCCCCTTTCTTCCAGAGTCATTATGTGTACTGCTCGCCCCCACCACCACCAACCACCACCAGTGCAGATCCTCCAAGACTTGGAGGCCAGGCTCCAGTCCCGCATCCCCCTCTGCATATTAAGCAGTTTGACTTTGATTCCCTCCCACACTCATGAACTTTAGATTTCCCACGGACCTGGCCTGAATGCTAGAAGAAGGTTCACACTCTTCCACCTGGCTTTTGTGGCCCTGTGCAGTCTGACCTTGCCCACCCACTCCTGCCTGCATCACCCCTCTTCTGGAGATTTCTGTGTTACTTGGTTCTATCAGTTTGGGTGCATTTCCTCATGCTGCCCTGATGGTGACTGGCTTATGCATATGGAATCCCTCAGCAAAGTAGTCTTGCACTAGGACTGGGGACGCAGAGATGAATTAAACTTGGCCTCTGTCGGTTCTAGTTTCCTCGTGCTACTGTAACAGAAATACCACAAGTGGGTGGTTTTAAAGAGCAGAAATTTGTCTTTTCACAGTTGAGGAGGCTATTCAGCGCCTGTTCCGGGCACTGGCTCTAGGGGAGGGCTCACACTGTCCGCTCTGGGGGAATGCCCTTGTCTCAGCTTCTTAGCCCCAGCATTCCTCAGTTCCTTGGTGATCTCCATGAGGCATATCTATCTTTCCCCCATCTGTGCTTGCTTCTCTGTTTTATCTGCCTTTTTTATAATCTCAAGTCATTAGCTTTAAGACTCACCCTATTATGACATGGCCTCATTAACATAACAAAGAAAACCCCATTCCCAAATAGGATTACATCCACAGGTGTTGGGGTTAGGATTCCAAAACACACACACACACACACACACACATTTTTTGGGGGGGGGGCATATTTCAGTCCATAACACTGTCCTTGAGATGGCCACAGCTCAAGGTGCCAAAAGGTCTTCCAGCAGTGACAAGATGTTGCAATGTAAGTTGTCCCAGAGTTGTCCTCTCTCTCTCTGCTGCAGGGAAGGTTCCTGGATGGAGCCCTGAAGGCTGAGGATGGAATTTCTCAGGAATCAAGGGGGAAAGGGTGCCCAGAGGCTTTCCCCTCAGTTACCGTCTGTCCCTTGAGAGCATCATCTTTTGTTGCTTTGTATTCCCATCTGCCTCACAGGATGTCTGCCAAGATTAGATGTTAATAAATGCTACATAAATCATCTGAAACTCAGGGAGCTGTGAAATATGAGGACTGACAGCTCAGATGAGGCTAGCTTTTGGAGGACTCAGGACAGGAGTTTGGCCTTGATCCAGCCAGAGATAAGATGAGCAAGGCCAAGGCCAAGAGGATGACTTTTGCCCTCTGCTTTGTCCCTCCCCAGGAAGGGTCCACTGTGGTCTTCTCAAAGGCACTGAAAGGGGCAGAGAGCCTCGGAGTGGCCCAGGGAGGTGTATGCTTTTCACACCTGGCATTGTTAACTCTAACCTCTTTATTTCCAAGTGGAAGAAGCTGTAGATCACACAGCCAGCTCACGAGTAGAGCAGGGACTGAAACCCAGGCCTCTGCCACCTGGGCTCCAATCTTTGTTCTCTGCTGCATGCTAGGCAGAAGTGGGACTTACAAGTGCAAATGTTTAATAACAGTTAGAGGTGGAGGAGGCTTTGTGTGACAAGGGAAAGTTGGTTGACCTGTATGTTAGGAAACTTGGGTTCTTTGGCCTTTGAGCACATTATAGAAATTCGTGAGTGGAGATTTTGATGGTGTTTCTACTTCTGCAAACAAGGAATATAGAGAAGAGGCAGAGGAAGGGCAGGGCTAAGAACACAGGGTCTGGAATTAAACTGCTTGAGTTCAAAGATCCTTGGTGTGACCTAAGTATATTACCTGATCTCTATATGCTTCAGTCTCCTTATCTATAAAATGGTTACAAAAGAATCTTTTGTGAAATTGTTCTGAGTCATAAATGAGATAATGCACTTAAATGACAGCCCAGTGTGACCCAATAAACACTCATCAAATGTATATTTAAAAAAAAAAAATTGGATCTTGGGAGAGGACTGGCCTGTGGAGGCTGACCTGGGAATCACTTTGAAGCTACGTAGAGTGTCTGAATCGAGGGGTGCTGAGAGAGCAGACACGGGGAAGTCAGAGCTTTGGGGATCAGACAGTTTAGGAGGAAGTAGCAGAGTCAGTAAAAAAAACCAAGCATAAGATTCAAGGTGGAAGAAACCAGGAAAATGCCAAGTCACTGAAGCCAATGAGAACTCCTAGGAAGGGATGCAGAGATGGTATCATTCTCAGGGCCATAGGCTGGTGAAGTGGGGATGGTGCAGAGGCCTTGGACTTGACTAGGCAGAGCTAGAAGGTCTAGGATAGAGCTGTGTGCCCTCTCCCTACCCCTAGTGGTGCTAAGTTTGTTGTCCTACCTTCTAGGGGTAGACGTGATTAATGGGGCCCTGGAGTCAGTCCTGTCTTCCAGTAGCCGTGAGCAGTGGACACCAAGTCATGTCAGCGTGGCCCCTGCTACCCTCACCATCTTGCACCAGCAGGTAAAGAGCTAGGGTAGAAGATATGGCTGTGCCCTGCTGTGGAGGGGAGACCGGGGCTGGAGAGGATCTGCAGGTAAGATAGGCATGCCCCAGTGGAACAGAGAGGATCCAAGTGTCCCTTTCTAACTGGGCTTCCTCCCTCCAGACAGAGGCAGTGCTGGGGGAGTGTCGGGTGCGCTTCCTTTCCTTCCTGGCTGTGGGCAGAGATGTCCACACATTTGCATTCATTATGGCTGCCGGCCCAGCCTCCTTCTGCTGCCACATGTTCTGGTGTGAGCCCAATGCTGCCAGCCTCTCAGAGGCAGTGCAGGCTGCGTGCATGGTAAGTGAGTGGAGTGGTGGGGTGGCGCTCATCCCATGTGGGGCAGGCTGGAGAGTGACCACCCCACCTGCCTCTCTGCAGCTCCGCTACCAGAAGTGTCTGGATGCCCGCTCCCAGGCCTCCACCTCTTGCCTCCCAGCACCCCCGGCTGAGTCCGTTGCCAGGCGTGTAGGGTGGACTGTCCGCAGGGGTGTTCAGTCACTCTGGGGCTCCCTTAAGCCCAAACGGCTGGGGACCCATACCCCCTGAAGAAACCCACGGTCCTCCTCCTACCTGCTCCAGGGAACTCAAGGTATGGGGCAGGTAGGGGCCCTAGAGGTGATTACCAGGCCTCGGGCCCCTCCAAAAATGCCCCTCCTCAGTAGCTGGGGTTCCTGCCTAGGAGCTGGGGAGGGAGAAATTTAATCCCTTTGAGGAAGTGACAACACTGGATTGATGTTGCGGAGCAGGAAGCAAGGCCAGCCCCAGGCTCTCCATCCCCACGTATTTCAGGTGGAGCAGGAGGGACTGGTCTAGGCCGTGCCCCATCCTCATATTGGCCAGCAGGGGCAGAAGGTGAAGGGGTCTGGTTCTGGCATGGGTCCCCTCCCTCTGCCCTGTGGGCACCTCCCCTGTACTGATATCACTAATAAAGTCTGTCTGCCCTGCTGAACTGTGTTCCTTCCTGAGCTTGCACCACACTGTCAACCTCACGCCTCAGGTGTAGCTTTGTTCTCAAGGCCCCTTTACCCTGCCTGTCCAGAAAAAAGAAATTAGGACAGTTACAGAGGGGTCAAGTCCAAATCTCACACCTTTTTATTGTAACAGACTGATGGGACCACAAAAGGCAGCAGCACTGGGTTCCTAGCGGGACAGCACCAGGCGCCCATTGACAAATAGGTCCCGTCTAGTCAGCCCAGGGCAGTGTCAGCTGAGGCCTCAGCTCTATGGCCCTGAAGTGACAGCAGCCCCAGGGCAGCCTAGGCGCTAGGACAGGCAGAGCAGCCCAAACCCCTCTCATATCCTGTTAAACCAGATCCAGGAAAGCAGTAGGTCATGTCTCCCTGGCGTACTTAGGCCCCAGATGGGCTGTTCCACCGGGTGTTTTTGCTAAGTTGCACCACAGCCGCCCTCAGCGTCCTGGGCGTTCGCTTCCTCTCAGAAACATGACCTTTACCTACGCTGGGCCCTAGGAGCGCTAGCACAACAGCGGCCGTATCCACTGGCTGTGGATGTCTGGGAGGCTCTCCTCTGGCACCAGGTGGCGGCACAGAGCAGGGCTGTCAGCGCGGGCAGACAGCTGGGCACACAGAGTAGTGAGGCGGCAGGGCGGGCCGCAGGGCTCCAAGGGCGGGTGGCCTTTATGGTAGAGGAACCAGAAAGTCTGGAATAGTTGCGTGTCGCCCCGCATGCGGTATACCAGGTCGTGCCAGGCGGCAGGCAGTGCGTTGGGCAGCCCGTAGGTTTCTCGAGCTCTATAGAGGCGCTGCCAGTGCGGCGTGGCTCCAGGTGCGTTCGCTTGCGTCAGGTTCAGAATGAAGGTCTCGTGGTCCAGGACCACGTGAGAGCTCCCGGGATAATCACCGTCTATTTGGTAGACTCGGTAACCTGCAAAGAGGGCGGGCTGGCTGGAGAGCAAGGAAGCGAAGCGAAGGCACTGCCCCAAGGAGGGGCCACTTGTTCCATCCGCCCTTTGCCCTTTGCTGATATTAGCTGTGGCTCCGCCTCAGTTCCTCCTTTCTCCCACCAACTCCAGGATACGCACTTCTCCATCCCACATCCCACCACTCTCACTCACCAGGATTAAGGCCAATGTAGGTGGTGGCACTGGGCGCCAGGAAGGCCACAGCAAGTGGCCGGCTCAGGGTCTCCTCATCATAGAAAAGTTCAAATTCATCCACATGGGTGTGACCAAAGAACTGACCAGCCAGGGTGTTCTCATACCTGGTCAGAAGACATTAATTTTATTCAGAACATTCTGGGGAGGAGATGGAGAAGACCTTTCCCCATTCTATTCAAGTAATAGCTTCCCCACTCCCATAGGACAGGAGCCATGGTGAGATGCTAAGGGCAATTTCAACATTTAGACTCTTCATCGCCCCCTGCCCCACCCCATTTGCCTCCTACCTGGCTACAATTCGGTAATAATTCCAGCTCCAGCTCTTCAGACAGTGTCCTGGGGGAATGTGGCCAATTATATGCACCTGGGGAAAAGGTGAAGGGTGGTTAGCAGGGCACGAAGGTGTCCAGGTAGCCCTGCCAGGATAGTTGGTACTCATCTGTCCCAGCAGTCCTGGCCAGAGGGAGGAGTAATGAAGAGGCTTTCAAAGAGGAACCTGATCTGAATTCCCAGAAAACACTGATGTTGGCAGCATCAGAAAAGCCAGTTCACAGGTGCTCCAGTTTCAGAAGGGCGCCTGCTGGTAAAGGGCCTGCTTCTCTCCCCACCCCCATCCACACCTACTCCACCCGCCCCCACCAGCTCTCCCTCACTTTGTCTCCTCGGTCCTCTGCTGCCTGGAGCTCCCCCACCAGCCACTGGAGCTGTCCAGCAGGATCTGTGGAGTTGATCAAGAGCCAGAAGTTCTCCCGGGAACAAAAATTCATATTGAGAGAGATGAGGCGGAGGCCAGGGTATGGGGACAGGGCATAGAACCCCCCGATTCTGAAACAAAGTGAACATGAGGGGTCAGCACTCATTCATAATCCTGGCCCTGCATGCCCTTCCCTGTGCTAGGCATTTGGGTGGAGGACAGAGGCGTGACATCGTCCCTACCCTCCATGAGCTTACACTTTAGCTGAAGACCAAATGGTAATAATTACCTGTGTGATTGAACATGACTTAGAGAGCTAAGGGCTCTAGGAGTTCAGAGGAAGATCAAAGAGAGCTAGAATGGGAAGCAAAGGTCATTCACAAGGAAGATGAGCTGGCCTTTGGTCAGTTGGGGATGTTAAAGAGGGCAAGGCATTTTAGAGAGGGTCAACAGGAGTAAAGAGCCAGAAGGGTACTTGGAGAGGGGAGTATTGTTAGCTCTCTGAAGATAAGGGTAGCTGAAGAAGGGTAGATGGAGCTCGGGTGGCATAGTGCCAAAGGCATTTGACTGCTAACCAGAAGGTTGGTGGTTCAAAACCACCAGCCACTCTGCAGAAGGAAGACTGGTCAATATACTTCCCTAAAGATTTACCACCTCAGAAACCCAAAGAGGGTTGACTATGAGTCAGAATCGACTTGATGGCAGTGAGTCTGGTTTGAGTTTAGAGAAGATGGAAAAAGAAGGTGGGGTCAGATTAGGGAGGGCCTGTCAGGACTGCTGGGGACTTCTGCAGAGCAGATGGATTCACTGCTCCCTTCAGTTTCATCCATTTTTCTGCTCCCTTCCTGGGTTTCCATGGGCCTTAAGTACCTGAGAGTGTGAAGGGCTTCTGCGGGCAACCAGGGCTTCCACGCCTTGGCCATGGCCTCATAGAGCCAGCTGGAGGAGTGGTTGCCCTCTATGAAGGGGGGAGGGAAGCTGTTGACGGGTGTGCTCTCATGGTTGCCCACAGCAGGGTATACAGGAACTGGCCCCAAGAACTTCCTCACGAGAGCCGTGATGGTGGTCAGGGCCCGAAGCTGGTCCTGGCGAGACTGTTGCCAGACGTCATGGGCGGGGATATCTCCTGTCCAGTACACCATGTCAAAAGGGCCAGCTGGGCCAAGCCCACCCAATAGGCTCTCCAGAGTCCGCAAGGGCAGGTCACACTTGCTGTACTCGCCCCAGTATCCAGCACCAGGCCGGGAGGCAGGCGGCAACCCAGAGCCCTGGCGGCAACACAGTGGGTCTGCACAGTTGGGGTCTGCACCCTCCAGGTAGTCATGATCCCAATGCAGGTCAGTGAGGAAGAGGACACGGCTGACAGGGGCACCTGGGGCTGGGGGGTTGGGAGGCCGAGGGAGTGGCTTGGGTACCGCTGGCAAAGAGATGTTCCAAGACGAGAAGACATCCCAGTGCCCGCAGGTGGGGCCCAGAAGCAGGCCACAGGCCTCAGATGGGCTCAGCACTGAGCGTGTCCACACCTCCACCATGTCGCCCTCAAAGAGCTGAACAGCTGACTGGCACACTGCAGGTGGCGCTATCTTCAGCAGATTGCACAGCTTGATGGCCACGGAGCCTACTCGGGCCACATTGGGCTCCTGCTGTGGTGGAAGCGATTAACAAGTCAGACACAGGGCAGAGGAACCAGGTTCCCCAATCACTGGTCCTCGGGCCATCTATCAAAAGTTGGCTGGTCTTAGTGTACCACGGTGAAGAGACCTCAGTATATCTCCCCTGCCTTCCAGAAATACTGTCCTATGACTTAGGCAGCCCCAAGTCAATACTTCCTCTCTGGTTAAGTGGCCAGTGGCATTTTAGATCTCTGTTTGACCAGCTGGCTTCTGATGGGACAGTCATCTCAAATCATACTCCTGACTCTTGCAACAACTTTCTTAGGTCCTGTCTGCAGGGGGCCCTGAGCCTTGGGTTAGGCAGACTGGCGCCCTTGATCCTGTTACCCTGAGGAGCCCTACAAAGCTCACCAGCCAACCAGCACCCATGTATCTCCACCATGGTCATGGCAACCCCATATAGTCCTGGCTTCAGGGCTGTTCATAATTCAAGTTGTTTTTCAGTACCCAGGCATTGTAGCTCTGTGGTTAAAGTACTGAGATGCTAACTCAAAAGTCAGCAGTTTGAACCCAACAGCTGCTCAGTGGGAGAAAGATAAAGCTGTCTGCTTCTGTAAAATTTTATAGCCTTGGAAACCCTATGAGGCAGTTCTACTCTGTCCTATTGGGTTGCTGTAAGTCGTAATCAACCAGATAGCAGTGGGTTGGGTTGGGTTAGACCTGAAGCTCAGGGCTGGAGTTACCAAGGAGTGTAAAGCACAGTGCATCAGGAGTCAGGCAAGCTAGGATAGGAGACCCAGCACCCGCCCCCACCAGCTGTGTGCCCTTGGTCAAGTGACTTTAGTTCTCTGAGACTCTATTCATTCGTAAAAAAGGAGATTACAACTGTGTTCTAAAGCCTCACTGGCTTGATTTAATCTGCATGAAACTGCTAGCACAGTGCCAAGCATATAATTTGCACTTTCCTTCCTTCACAAATGTCACAATGGGGTGGTGGCGTTTGCACGCTGTCCCTAAGGGGGAGGAAATTCAGTAAAGGCTTATAGACGCTGCGCTCTCCAGACAGCATTGCTCTGGGGGCGCCCTGCGCTCCCGCGGCAACCCTCACCTCCACCCGCAGCACTCTCCTGTGGCCCGCTCCACTGCAGCCCTTTTGGCACTCACCTTCAGTCCGATGTCGATGACAGTGAACAGGCCTTTGCAGACCGGGCAGGTAAGGTTCCACCAGCCAAAAGTGTTCCGAAGCTCAGGCGCTATGCGATTGAGCCTGGCGGGATGGCCTTGGGTGGGCAGAGGGTGGGCCCCGGCCGGGACCCAAAGAACTAGGGAGTTGGGCAGGGCCAGCGTCAGCGCCAGGCCCAGGGCCACCCAGAGGCATCCCGGCATGGAGTCGTTCGAGGACCTATCTTGTCCCTGCCCCCGGTCGGACGTGGGATGGCCTTGGCCAGGAGACACCCCGTGGCGGGGCATTGTCAGGCCTCTCGGACAGGGCTAGATTCGTCCTTAGGCCCGTCCGGCCCCCGCCGGCCTCTGCCCAGCTGGCCCTCTGGGCCCCAGGCGGAGCCGGGGACGCCCGTTCACCCTTCTCTGCAATCGGCGGGTTTTTTTCACTGGCAGCCGCAGACAGCTCCGCCCTTTCCTTTTCCTTAGCTGCCCAGCTGCTGATTGCAGCGGCGGCGGCAGCCCAGAGCCCCCGCGACGCTGCGGAGGCGCAAAGGGCGGGGCTCTCCGTGACCCGCCCAGGATCCCGCCCCTGGTTCCTCTCCTCAGTCCCCGCCCCGCCCTGTGGGCGGCACCGCAATCGGTGGCGGACAGAAGCACCCTGCGGTTATCGCGGGCATCCCCCTGGCGGCCTGAGCGTGGGCGGCCACTTCTGCCACCGCACTGGGACTTGCTTTGGAGACGATCAGATGTTGCTGGTGGAAGACTCATTGGCGAATCCAAGCTTCCTTCTCTCTCCAAACCTACACTCAAATTCCTGAAATAGCTAACTGCCCGGCCGAGCCTGCATTTAACTGGGGGATGGAGGCTGAAGGAGAGCGGGGCTGGGCAGGGATTCTCTTATTGGGCTTGTTACCGCCCCCGGTGAAGGGGGCGCCTCCCTGGATTTCTCACGCACTGCCAAAGGCACCAGCACCCTTGAGTCACCCTGACTGAGAGTCTCTGAGTCACTTTTGATTATAAATATTCAGAATGGAGGGGACCCCAAGTGGGGGAACTGAGGTACAGAAAAGTAGTAAAATAGCAATTGAAACCCAAGCTTTTTGTCTCCTAGAGTGCTTCTCTGGGAGCTCTGGTAGCATAGTGCCTAAGGCACTTGACTGCTAACCAGAAGGCTGGCGGTTCAAACCCTCCAGCCACTCCTCGGAAGGAAGATGGGGCAATCTACTTCCGTAGTGATACTGCCTCAGAAACCCAAGGAGGGGTCACTATGAGTCGGGGCTGACTCGAGGACACATAACAACAACAACAGCAGAGTGCTTCTCTAAGGTGCATTGAGCTGTCAATGCCTGTCAGCTCTGAAAAAAGGGTCTGTTTTTCACCCAATTCCCTGGCATCATTTTAGAGTAATATAATAATTAACAGGCACTTTTTGAGCTTAATTCTCACAACAAATTTGTTGTTGTTGTTGTTATATGCCATCGAGTTGGACCTGACTGATAGCAACCCCTCCTAGAATTTCCAAGGCAGTATCACTACGGAAGTAGATTGCCCCATCTTCCTTCCAAGGAGTGGCTGATGGGTTTGAACCACTCAGCCTTCTGGTTAGCAGTCAAGTGCCTTAGGCACTACGCTACCAGAGCTCCCCACAACAAATTTAGGAGATAGGTATTCTCCCCATTTTACAGAGAAGGAAACTAAGGATGAAGGAACTGGCAGCTAGCTAGTAAATGCTGGCACCTTTGAATCCAGCGCTCTGGCTCTATGCTTTGGTGCTCCTCCATCATCACTCTATACTTGTATCTGTAATGTCTGGGTCTGCAAGGATGAGAAAGTTGCTAGAAGGAAAAGAAGGGGGAAGGAATGTCTGAACATAGGGACAAGCATGGACAAAATACAGACGCGTGAGGGAACCTGGTGTGTTTGCTATGGTGTATAATCTCACTTTACCCCATTTGCCTGCTAGAGATTTCAAGTAGCCCCAATTCTCTTCCTTAATTGTCATTGCTCTGCATATCTGGCCTTCCTTGTGTAGGAGGACAATGAGGACCCTCAGGGCACAAATCCATTCTGTTCTCAGGTCTAGCTCATGTCACCTTAATAACGTGTTTCTAGGTCACTCCCTCCTTTCCCGTTTGTTCCGTCTTCAGTGTTTTCATATGTATTGTTGTATTTGATCAAACCACCATTTGCTGCATAGCATTCATCCTTGTATAGGTGATCAAATCTCCTCTTCCCCTGAAATAGATGATGTCACATGGTTCTCCAGGAATCAAATTCTGAGACCGAGGTAACGTGTAAGAGATTTATTAGGAAGGGCTTTTGGAATGAATACTTATGGAAAGGAAAGGAAGGAAGAAGGATTGGACAGAAGGACAGTGGAGCTGTGATGTTGTCTCAGTAGAGGCCTCAGCAGATGGAAGCTGGGCTGACCTTCAGAGTTGTCCTGAAATGGGGTGAGGCTTGCTGTAGCTGCGACAATTCTCATATGGGGCTGGTAGCTGAGGGCTTTCTGCCAAGAGTACTCCTGGCAGCTGAGAGAATAAGTCCTTTATTCCTGAAGGGGGATCCAGGCTGGGTATCACAGCATTTACCACAGTCTGACCCTTGTGACACTTGGATCCACTTTGCGTAAGTTCTGGGAGCAGCTCCTCCAGAATTCTAGTGAAATCTCTCTTCATGGTGGAAATTTTATTTTATTTATTTATAATTGTGATTTGGGTGAGGATTTACAGAGCAAATTCACTTTCCATACAGCAGTTCGCATACACTTTGTCTCATGACATTGACCACAATTTACCACAATGCAACAACTCCCCTCCCTTTTCCTCCCGATAGTTACCTCTTCCCTGTGTCCATCCCTCCATGCCCTCTGCCCACTGAGCTGCCTCCTGGTGCATAAGCAGCCCTTCTTTCTCCCATGATTGTTCTCTCCAAGGAGTGTATCTACCTCAGGTAAATGTTCAACTCATATGCCTGTCTTTTG